ACTTGGATTCGATTCTTCTCCCGATTTTTCGACTATTATTGAATTTATCGATTACAGACGTGCCAAGGATCGCCGTGATAAACACAAGAAATCCTAGAAATCTCATGGTTGGCCAAATTCCAAATTCATCTCTTGTCATATCTGGTCTATTTCATATTTTAGCTATTAATTGAATTACCGTATGATCAGGTCCTGAAATTAGGTATTATTTGCGCATTTGCTGTATTTTAAAATAATATTTTTCACTTTTATGTTTGGCTGGTTGCTAGCTGATTGTTTCACTCTTGTAAAAATATATTTCGTTGTTGTGTGTGTACATATTGATTGATTACTATATCGTTTGTAATGTTATATATTGCCTTAAAGCAGTCAAATATATGTTTTGTATTGCATTCGTTCAAAAACGCGACACACACATATACATCAAGTGGTGGCGGAATGATAAGTGATGCGTGATAAGTATTGATTGACTTTTGCTTTTGATTTTGCCGACAACTGATAACAAGGTCCCGAAAGAAGCTACTGGTTGACGCAGAAAGCCAGCCAAACTTCGGCCCGGGGAATGGCTAGAAAGTAATTAATTTTCTTGTACAATTTGCAATTACAGGGTGAGCCATGAATACGGTAGTTATGTAATTATTATGAGACGATAGGTATAGTTAGGAATGAAACATGGAGAATGGACAACAACAATCGATTTGATTGCCAGCAATTCGATTTTGTAGTTTGCTCATTGTTCCGAGTACGCTCAGACGACGGTTGAGGTCTTTCTCGGAATATTTGGCTCAGCTTTCTTGGACTGATGAGAGCATCAAGTGGGTACTGAAGGCCAGACCTCATTCTCCATGACAGCTAATACAATAAGCACACTTAATTGATGGCGACCGATATCACCTGCAAGTAAGACCCAAATACGAAATTAAAAACAATTTGATCCCGTATTTGGAACTTACTTGCAGGTGATATCGGACCAGACTTGACCCTTAAACAGTTAGGACCTTGAGATCGCGAAGGAAACGTCAAAAACGAAGAAGCATGCAACATGATCAGTCCCGTTTCGGAATACTCCACGCATTCTATTTCC